AAAGCCCCCCCCCCCCAATATCTCTCCCTTCTCTCTTTTTTTACCCCCTCCTAAATATATCTTTATTGGTTCCAGAGAGAGGAATGGAGAGGAAGAGAAACATCAATGATGAGAGTCATTCATTGATCGGCTGCCTCCTGCACGCCCCCCACCAGGGATCGAGCCTGCAGCCCCAGGCATGCACCCTGACCCAGAATCAAACCTTGATCTCCTGGATCATAGGTTGTTGCTCAACTGCTGAGCCATGCCAGGCCGAGCTCCCTTCTCTTTTTATTTTAATTTTTTCTCCTTAGGGACTTTTTTTAGAGACCTTTCTTTTTGCCAAGAAATCTAGATTCTTTTCAGACCATGTCTATACCAGGCAAGAACGTCCCAATCATAAGCTAGTTCTGGCCTCAAGTGTCTTACTCACTTTATTCTGTTAGCCTCAGAACCAATGATAAAGTGGGTGTGCAGGCGTCCTCTGTCTGAGGTGCCTTGTTTCTCCAGGGAGTGCTAGGAGCTTGCTGTCAAACCAGAAAGCTCCCTGACCGCCTGCCATGTGCCTTCTCTGACTGAGGCACTAGTGGGAGCTTTCGCTGGCATTTAGGGAGTGCCTACTGGGGTTCTAAGAGGGAACTTGGCTGTAGATTGTGCTATCATGGTTAGTCCTCAGAATTGCCCTGTGAGGTAGGATAATTATCCTTCCCATTTTATGGAGGAGGAAACTGAGGCCTGGGAATACTGAGGGCTCATTTGAATGAGAGGCAGACCGAGACGACAAGGAAGTAGGCTGAGAGGCAACACAGTGAAGGGTGAGTCCAAGTGTATCAAGTCAGGGAAGATGCGAAGGATGAGGGGCTTGAGCCAGGCTTTTAGGTCAGAGAGGTGATGAGAATGGACATACAGAGGTGAACATGGAGAGAGAATGTGAGTTAGTGGAGGGTGTGGGCGTGAGAGAGAGAGAGAGAGAGAGGAGCTGCCAGTGAGGAGCTGACTAGGGCAGGGATTGCCTGTGTGTGGGTAGCAGGAATGACATTGACTTACAGGGGTCGTAGATAGTCTTAAGCCTGCTGAGGTGGTGCTATGAGGAACTTAACTAACCTTGGTCTGCATGAGGAATTGGAGAGGCACAGGGGCACCTGGCTTTTAGACCCCTCAGGCATTCATGCTTCATTGTGGGGATCCTCTTATTTCTCCTTAGATGGCAGTCATGCTGGGAAAGCCCAACAGCAAACCGGATTTCCCTGTGGCTTCTTGTCCAGCTCTACTTTAGGCCTTGGGAAAGGCTGCAGGAATGTGTTGCTCATGCAGCTTCTACCCTTGAATAAATAGGAGCAGGCTCTGCCGCCCATTCCAGCCTTCCAGGCAGGAAAGCCCCTCTCCAGGGGCACCTCCAGGTTGCTGAGGGTGTGTGAACAAGAGGCCCCCATACCTGGGAAGACCTGCATGGGAGAGCCTGCTGGTGTCACAACAGTGGGTGTAAACGCCCACACCCCAACCAGGGGCCTAATAACAGTTGGCCCAACCAGCATCCCTGCGCACCACACACATACATCGAAAATAAACAAACATGTAAGCTGGAGGAAAAAGCATACCACTGTGTTTTGTTATCAATTTGGATGTGTTTTTTCTTACCAATCTATCATTCTGGGAGGCAGGGAAACTTAGCAAAGTCTGGACTGCATTGGAAAGGTGGGTCATTTTTCTGGAAGGAGCAGCAAAACTTGTTTAAAAAGTTACTCCAGCTGCCTGGGGCAGCCCCTTGCAGGAAGCCCTCCATCCCCCTATGTTCACACAATGAACTCGGTCTGTGCCTTGGAGCCTGCCTGCCTCCCACGCGGCTGGGCCAGAGGCCGGAGTGAAGGAGGGCAGGCCCAGGGCTGAAGACAAGTGCTTAAGTGTTTCTGGAAAAAATGAAGATTGAAGGGTGGATGAGAGCAAGTGCAGAGGAGTTTTCCATTTTTGTGCAAAACTCCAATTAAGACAAGTGTCAAGTACTTTGGCAGCCCCTTTGCTTCTTTTTCTCTTATGGATCCTCACTCTATTTTTCTTTCTATTAAGATACGAAAAGAGTAAAAAAGCATTAAATGGAAAAAAGAAATGAGCTTTAAAAATCCTCTTGAGCAACTACTTATGGGCAGTTAACAAAGCTTTTGCAAACT